CCTCCATTGGAAATGTACCCAGAAGGGGTACATTCCTTAAAAAAAGGTTGAAAACCCCATACCTTAGGCTTCCCCCCCCTGCTTTTTCCCTCCATCCCCCTTCCCTGCTTTACTTTTTGCTTTTCTAATTTCTACCTATTTATATTTTCACTGACATCCCATCACACTTTTTTAGCTTCTCTTATTCCTGTTTTCCTGATCAACTATTTCCTTTTTCACAGACATCTTCTTTTCTACCCTGTATTGTATCCCACCCGAAGCCCCTTGCCCCCAGCCCGGGTTCTGTGGCTGTCAGCAGGTACCCTGGCTCTGGGTAGCTGTTGGAGCCTGGGCTGCTTCCAGCAGGGCTTGCAGCATCCCAGCTGCCTGCTGGGAGCAGCCCAGGCTCCCGGCTGGCAGCAGCTACCGGAGCTGGGGCTGGCTGCAGCCAGGAGGCTCCAAACAGCTGCATTGGGCTCCAGAGTCCCAGCATCAGCTCCGTACTGGCACTTGCACCTGTACGTCAGTAGGTGGTGGGGTAGGGGCCTGAGGCAGCACAACCCTGGTCTCTCCCCTGCTCGTGGCATAGAGCTGGTGACTGGTCTCTGGAGCCTGGTTCAGTAGCTTGTAGCCAGCATGGGCTCTAGTCAGCTGCAGCAAGCAGCGGGCAGGCTGCAAACAGCTGTGCCGGGCTCCACAGCTCTGGCATCAGCTCCATGCTGGTGGCGACTGCACGGGCTGCGCTGTCTTGCACTGCCTCAGGCCCCTCCCCCACTGCCCGCTCTAAGGCGCATGCACACGCCGGGTATGGAGCTGATCCCGGGGCTCTGAAGCCTGGTGCAGCTGTTTGCATCCTCCTGGCTGCAGCTGGCCCCGGCTCTGGGTAGCTGGTGTCAGCCGGGAGCCTGGGCTGCTCCCAGCAGGCAGCTGGGATGCTGCAAGCCCTGCTGGGAGCAACCCAGGCTCCATCACTGGCAGCAGCTACCCAGAGCCAGGGCTGGCCCTGGCATGCTGAGCAAAATGGCCTTGTGTGCCATGCTTGGCATGCGTGCTGGGGGTTGCCTGCTGCTTGCTGCAGCTGACGAGAGCCCATGCTGGCTACATTTGTATGGGGGTTGTCTAGTCTACCCCCCATAAATGCAGTGTGCTGTTCCTGCGCCATCCCAGACAAATGCTTGTCCAGCTTCTTTTTGAAAAAAGGAGAGTCTACAATTTGCCTGGGAAGCTGGTTCCATTGTCCTGCTGTTCTGACCCTGAAGGACAGCATGTCCAAATCCTTGTCTGACAATCTCACCCAACTATAAAAGATCCAATAAAAGATTGCCAAAAAAGCCTCTTGCTTCTGGTACACTTCCTGGCCTGTCCTGGCTACAACATTCCAACTCCTGTAAGAAATATGTTTATTTCTTTTTGTGTGCAATGTTTTTTGTTCTTCCTCTAAGATTAAAACTGCCTTGCTGTAGTTCAAAACTGTTGCTTTATGTAATACCCTCTGTGGCAAAGGGGAGTCCCCTGTTGTTCAGTGGTAAAATCCTTGTCTGCCAGACGGGAGACCTGGGTTCAATTCAAACTACGTTTATATAAATACAGCTGTGGAGGCACCAAATGTTTGGATCTAGTCTGGCCTTTGGATTCTGTCTCGGTAGCCTAAAGGGGGGATGGAAGGTCTGGGCAGCCTCCACTCCTCCAAAACTCCTGCCTAGGCATATGTGTCAAAGAGGGTGACCTCTCATGCATACACCATGATCCGGAAGGATCAACAGTTGCCAAATGTGGCAAGGGAGAATGGTTGTTCTTTCATGTGTTTGAAAATTATCATGGCTTCCTTTCAGCACACTGTTCTTCCAGTTTTACCTTAGGTTGGAATGCAGGGGGTTGAAGTCTGTTTTTCATCTTAGTTTCTTGCCTTGGGATCTTCTCCAGTTTGTCTACAATCTTAAAATGTTGGAGGACAAACTTGCATGGTGCTTCCATCTGAGTGCTAACCGTCATTGAGAAGAGACCTGTTATTACCTCCTATGTTAGTACTGCTACTTAGAATTGCAGGTCCTTCCCCTCCCCTCCATGACTGGCTAAGACTGCTGACTCATGTTGATTCACCAAAGTGTTTGTACTGCAAAGAAGGGCCTAGCCAAATACCCCAATCTGTATTTTGTACATTTGGTTTTTCTTCTGTAGACATAGCACCTTACATCTGTCATTTTTTTTTTATTGAATTTCATGTTGTTGTCCATAGCTCAATTCTCTAATTTATAAAGACATTTTTTAATTCTGATTCTTTACTCCAGAATGTTTGGAATCCCTCCCAGTTCTGTCTCGTCTGTAGACTTGATCAGGAAGCTCTCACTTCCTGAATCTAAATCATGAATAAAAATGTTTAAAAACTTTGGACCCAGAACACTCCCTAGTGAACCTGTACTTGAGACCTCTTTCCATTTCATATGAAGTGCTTTACAAACAAATCACAAAAAATACTTTGTCACCTACAGGAAGCCCCCCAAATAAGACATGCACCTTGTTTTGGGGAGGCAGAATGAAAGAATTTATTCCCTTCCCCCACACCTCCCCAGTCTTCTCGGCCAGACGTGGGCTCACCATGCCCAACTGCACCTGGCTGTATGCATCACTTACCCTTCTAGCTTTGCAGCTCAAGCTTTAACCCCATCATGGGCACTGCCAAATGGCCAGTGCCTGCAAAGACGTTAAAGCTTGAGCTGTGGAGTTTGCAAGGACAGAGCAAGTGACTGAACAGCAGAATCTGCTCCTACCTGTGCCAGGGAAGGGAAGGCAGCAGAGCCCCTGGCAGCCAGTCCAGTGCATCTATGCTCCATTCTAGCATAGAAATCTGCTTCCTTGCTTAAAACACAGACACCTGTTTTGAGCTCATTTTGCAGGGGAAAGATGTGGGTGGTATGTGAGTAAATGCAGTGTATGTATTTCAAAAAACTTAAATCCTGAAAACATAAAATACACAGGCATTACATATGCTGTTTGTAATATGCTTTGAGAGCTGTAAATGGAGAAATTTATCAATACAGTGTGTTATTACTACCAGTAGTTAATTCAGAGGTCATTTTTCTGTACTGGAAGATTCACGTACCTTTTATAATGGACTGCCTTGTAAGTCAGGAGTGAGTGATTAGGGCTTGTCTTTTGATGACAGTCTTGAGATCATTGCAGAGATGGTATACCTCTGTGTGTGCTGTTTCAGTTAAATTGGCAATTACCCAGCTCTTCTTAATGATTAATACTTTTCAAAGTATTATCTAAAGTCGTCCTATGTAATGTAATATTTTAATTTGCTCACAGAATAATGTAATGTTGGGTGGTCTGTAATTTTTATTTTTATTTTGTCCTACAAATTATTTGAGGAAGGCAGCCAAGATTCAAACTATAGTCATTTTCCCCCCAAGTATTTGTCCACATGGTTCCTCCGGCATTGTGGGTGAGCTAATTAGCTTTGCTGCAGTATTGTGCAAAAGGAACTATACTGTTTTTTTAGTTCAAGAGGCGTGCAGTTTGGCAAAGCAGTCTTACTGTCTTTATTTATGTAGGCCTCTGCATCTACCACCATCGAACGGCAAAAAGTCTATTATCTAAGGTGGTGTATGATGCTACCCCAAAAAGATAAAGTTGTTTCTCTGAGACGTTTTGTGTATATGGACCTCATGACTTACTTACTTCTCTAAAGAAGAGCCTTAGGCCAGCAGTTTTCAAGTTCTTTGAGCTGAGCCGCATTTTGTTACAATTTTGTTTGCAGTTCAGGCTGCCTCTGTGTTGCAGGGCACAGGCTGGAGGACATAGAGCGTCTGCCTAGACTCAGTGAACACTGCTGGCCAATGTCTGATCCATCATGCTTTTCAAATTAAAATGGTTATAACATTCAGTCTTAAATATCCTTTTTGTGCTACTTTTTCTTCCGTGAAAATTTTTGCTCAAATTACAGTTATTTGTCAATTAATTTGACATTTCATTGTGGTTCATATGTGACAACTTTGACATGGGATTTTCTTTCTTTTTCAGCAAATTTGACAGGCCATGCAGAGAAGGTGGGAATTGAAAACTTTGAACTCCTGAAAGTTCTTGGAACAGGAGGTAAGACTTAATTTTTATCTAAGTTGACCTTTTGAAGTAATATTATTTTCTACAGTACTGTTTCCTGTATTTGTTATTTTATAATTGGAGCATATTATCTAGGAAGATTTGTCACTGTTGTTTATTCATTGCACAATCTGGAATATGTAAAGAACAAGTATGCAAAATTACAGCATGTCAGATTTCTAATATAAAAGAAACATCCTTAGGTGCAGATGGGCAAATAGAACAATATTGAGAGGTGACTCACATGACAATATAATCAAGCTAAATCTATGATCTGGTTCTAAGATATAAGATGTTGGCTTGAAGATTTTATTAATTGTTTCAGATTTCTTCAACTGTTGAAGTTCATAGTTTCCAGAAAAATAGGAAATTCTGTACCTACATCAACTACAGTTTTGAAGCAAACATTGATAACTTTATCCTGTAAGCACAGTACTATTTTTAGGAGGATAAACAAAAGTATTCAGCATTGAATTGTGTTTTTTGTGATGATGGAGGCTTGTGCTTTTTGTGTGAGAATATTTAGAACTATTGAAAGACACTGGACTTACAGTTTTTGAGACCTGATATCCCTTCTCTGTCCATGGAGGATTGATAACAAGGGGTGTATGTAGACGAGATGGGGGCCCTAAATTGAAGCTGTGGGTTTTAAAAAAACGCCACTTCAGTTTAGGGCTGATTAAACCCCCATGTCACGTACACACCATGCTGACTTACCTGCCTCTCCAGTGGGGAGGGGAGGGCAAGCTCCTGATGGGCGGAATGGTCCCTGGGCTGTGGGGAGGCTGGTGCTTCCCTCTGTGGCAGCGGCAGCCCTTCTCCTCAGGTGGCACCTGCCCATAGGCACCCAAGTCGAGTGGTCCCAGGGGGTACCACAGCTGCAGAGGGGAGCACCAGGCCACCGCACAGCTCAGGCAGGTAGGCTCTGGGGGAGGGGGCGGGGGTGAAGGGGTGGAGATCAGGCTTGCTGCTTTTCTTGGGCAGAGCCTGCTTTTCCAGGCTGCTGCCAGGCTGCC